GCGAGAACATACACACAAAAAATTCTCTTCAGAATTCATTTTAAAGCAATTTTATAATTTTTTTGGAGGAAAAGAGTCTTTTATTCTGTCCTTATGTATAGATGTCACGCAGAAACATCGTTAAATTTCTTTCGAATAGTCGTCAAAATGGGTGTTTTCTTTGAAGTATGATACCCGGAATTTTTCGTGCTTACAATACTTCCTTTACTTCGTACAAGGAAGTAATAAACATACCGTTTAAACTTTTCCAAGTCTTTGCAGTTAAATTCAAACGTAGCGATAATTGGCTTCCCGTCTTACCGATGGCTTAAGTTCGAATCCCGGAGAAGGTATGAATGTTTGTATGTGTATAGCGTCTGTGCGACAAGGGGACACTGAAAGTACACGGTGAGTTAAAAGTCCTCTGGAGTGGTTGGAGGTAGGGGTAAAGGAGTGAGAGATCCTCAAACAGCTACGCGGAAGAACTGTGGGGTGTTGTTTCTCAAAAATTGGCAGGTTGATTTACAATTAGCGAGGTACTGGCTTTGCTTCAACCTCTTCCTGATATCCATGGCTTCGAAAAATCTAAATAACCTCTACAGTGACTTCCGAACTCAAATTAAGTGAACGGTAAATCCTCAGCATTTGGATTTGGTCAACTGGGTCTCGTCTTCCCTCCTATTGCTCTTTTAAGCAGATGAGCGAAAGTAAAAAACTATCACATCCGCCTTTGTGATGGAGCTTTTGATGTAACTATTTAGCACATCCAGTTACCAACTGGAAGATCCGTGGTTCGAATCCAGGCAGCATGATTGATTTTTCATATTTCCTGCTCCGAAATAAACTTAACGGTCTTGCAGATTTATGCACTGGTTCCCCGATTATCTATGGTAATTAATGCACGGCTAATCGATAAAGACAAATAATCAGAAAATAATCGCATAAAATTGTAATTAATTCCCAGATGCCACAAAATATATCTTCTGAGATTTTAAATGAATGATATTTTTTATGCTATTTAAAATAATATTTGATTAAAATGATGCTTAAAATTTACTCAAGCTTATGAGGCATTTTACGTCTTCTGATGTCTTCATGGTGTAACGGTAGCACGCTCGGCGCGTATTCTAGAAGTGCAGGGTGACCACCGCACATTTTTCACCTCTCCTGCTTCAAACTAACCTAATATTTCTACACTGACCCCCGAACTAAAAGGTGGTGGACAATAATTCGCCCCAACCAGAATTTGCGCCTTTTAAAAAGAATTTGTTTACTCCCTTCTTTCCGCATGCCTTCGTAGTGTAATTGAAAGCCCACTTGGCACTTATTCGAGAGGCCCAAGTTCGACTCCCGGCGAAAGCACAGCACAGTTTTCACGCCTCTTGTTTCAAAAAATTCTAATTAATCTACAGTGGGCCTGAACAAAAAGATGGTGGATGATAATTCATCACCACCAGGATTTGGCGATTGGGTCAACTAGTCCCCAGACACCCTTTAAAAAGGGGAGTGTATAAGGTATTTTTTATACTCGGCGCGTATTACAGAGGTCCAAGGTTTGAGCCCCAGGGAGGGCACTGCACAGTTTTCTCTTCTCCAGTAACAAGAAAACCTAATCACTCTACGAGCTAACAATTTTTATTTTGAGCTTAGTTCTTCCCTCTTTCTAAGAGCTATTCTGCTAGACAGAGTAACAAACACAACGGAAAACTATTACGTCATTAATTTTGAATTCAGTTTATGTACACATGTAGTGCAATTATGTGCCTATTTTTTGCCCACTCTGGCACCCCCTTACTAATTTAGCTGCATTCTCTTCTTCACTATTTTCTCTTGAATTACTTTAATCACTGAAGCCAAAGAATATTTTCGACAGATAAAATACTACAGCCTTTGCCGCTCTTGTCGTTTTTCTCCCACATATTTTTTGTTTCCTCCATTTGTATTTGCAAATCTCTTTAAATGTAAAAATAGTTTCTGTGAGACTCATGTTGCTACCTCATATGCAGAGAATTCTTATTACGCGACAACGAAGATAAGTTTTTCTAGCATGATTCAGCGTCAGACTTTGAACTTCACATCATAAATTAGTAGAGAGATTCATAGATTAGAAATCATGAATTTGTTTCAGAATGTCGCAAATGTTGACGAGTCATCGTTTCCATATTTTAAATTGAACGTCAATATTATTATTATTGTTATTTAAAAGACGGGAATTGTACCTTCGCTGGAATTTTAGCCATTGGTCTTTCAGTTGCTAGATTGACGTGTTAACCATTTACACCAATGGTGAATGAGCCCTTATTAACGTTCGAAGAAGCTATCAATCTAAGAAGAATAGTTTAACTTTAATAAAGCTTCCTGGGAAAAGACATAACGATCAAGCGCTCATGCCTTGTTCGCGATTTTTCTCTGGGTCCTACATGACTTTTCCAATCGTGTTCTACATGAGCTGAATTTACTTAGATGTTTTTTTAAAAAGACGGCTTCATCTTTAAATCATCCTTTCGAGCCACCATATTAAATGGGGGAAGCGGTCGAAATGATGCAAATCATCTGGCTCGGGTGTCTGTGTAGATTTTGGTAATTTTATTTTTTAGAGATCTAATTGTTACACGAGGAGATGCTTTTCGAATTTCAAAATTCGTACGTATTCGAAAGTTATCTCTTGCTGCCAAAATACATGAGAAGAAAGCGACAAAAACGTTGCACACTAATAAAAAAAAGGGGGGAACAGTTAAAAAAAAAAACTTCCTCAAGTTTCTTTGGGATAGAAGTAGGGTGTCGTGTCTTCTGACCGATTACCAAAGGCTGAAGATGATCGTTGGACATTAATTACCGCGGCGAGGGGAAGCTGCTTGCTTACCTAAACACAGAGCACGCTGTTCTCGGTTCCATTGGGGGGCAGACGCTGCGCGAACGATGGGAGGACGAAAAGGACTTTCTAATTAATGCCTTTGCCCGGCCAAGGAATTCGATGTAGCGTGATGGAAAGGCCCTCTCCGCAGCCATTAAGCTGGGCCACATCGCGTGTATCGGGCCGTCGCAGTGACAGGGCCAGTGTAAACAGGCCTAATGACAAGGTAGTCTCTCTGTGGCCTGGGGGTAACCAATTAAAAAGGAACTATTCGCTGCTCTTGCGCGTTTCGAATAATCCTTTTTAATAATGTCAACAGTTAGCACGAAACGGCAGACGATTTTTTTTCCCCTTCCTTTCTTTCTTTTTGCTGTGAGAGGCTGCTTTCTTTGGAGCTTTGGAACTGATAACGATCACTTCTTTTTCGGTGCCATTTTAGAGACAGATATGTCTGGATGTCCCCGACTTGCAGGCAGTACGATTTGCTGGAGTATTAGAGAATTTTGATTAATAAGTTTATGGTTGGCTCTTAGTTTCTGTTGCAATTTTTTCCGTTCAAGGTCGCTGGAAGGAGTTCTTTATTTCACAAGCGGTTTTGTTCTGAGACATAAGATACGATAATTCGTGTTTACTCCAACAGCATTAGAAGTGCAATATTTTATTTTTCATATTCCCCCCCCCCTCTGGCACTACAGTTATTGCTTTTAGGAAATTTTTAGATTCTTAAGCTTTCTTCTGGAATGGAAGCTCAACTTGTTTTCTAAATTTTCTTTGGAATTCAAAAGAATTCGAGTAGCCATTTTCGCCCAAAATGGCATGTACATTTTATCATCATGTCGTCGCTAAAAGCTTAATCACGTTTTTGTTGTCCCTACGTCTTAATGAATATATAATTCTGAGTGCAAATGAAATGTTTGGTTCAGTGATACTTTCTTGTTCTAAAGTAATGCTTCCTAAATCTTTTAGCAAAAGGACTAAATGGTTTTTAAAATGCTTTTTTTTTTTTTTTTTTTTAATTTCATTTTTCTAGATGTAAAAATTTCTGTGAAAGAAGTGTAAAAATGAGAGGAAGGGCTATAATAAATAAATATGCATAAATTATAACTACAAATAGAATCGTTTTTCAAATTTTTATATAATTTATTGCATAAACCCTAAAAGAATTGAAAATTTTTTGCAACAGATGAAAGGCAGAATTCTAATTACTTAATACGGAGTCATAATTTAGTCTAGGAGCTGTTTCGGTTTGAACAGACATTTTTCTCACTCTGAGTGGCAACGCAAAAATCAGTAGAAATGCGTTAATTTACAGAACAGTAAGTGGCAAATAGTGGGAACTTTAAAACTTGCTTCCGATTTGTTTGATGCAGCTCCAATGCTACTGATGAAATGTTAAATAGGTTCTAGATTAGATTAATTTATTCGGTATTCTAATTAATTACCTTTTAAACTAGAGTGAATGTTGATTTAGATAGAAATACCGCTGAACTACTGATGTAGAAATTTAGTTGCTCCATTTAGATTGATTTTAGAACTTTGTTAGATACGCCGCGTCATTTATCTATTGAACAGGAGTTATTGTTGCTAAAGTACACCAAATAATAAATTCCAAAACTTCATAAATTTAATATTGCAAAACAAATGCCATACATCTAACACATTTATTAATTTCTTAAATAGTTTTAAGTTTTCATTAGTTTATCTGATTATGGTAAAGAGCGCTTGAGCTATATACCTAAATGATGGGATAACTTCATGGAGGAGTATTTTAGGGGAATTGGCTCTTTTTCACGTTAAACACACGGGAAAACTACGAATACGCCTATACAGCCAGTCCGTTTGCCAGAAATCGAACATAGGTTGAACTACCAGTGCTCAGCGGTTTTATCGCAACGATCAGTGTCGGACCAGAAAACTTTAAGACATGGCAATATGAACAAATTTTAGCGATTTTAATAACCACAAAATGAATGAATGAAATATTAGTAATAAATTAATGTGAAGTTATTAAAAACATTGAACTGTTAATATAAATTAATATAATATATAAATTATTATTATTTCTTAATCATGTTCTACTAAATTTTCAAAATTTGCTTACCAACACAAGCATTACATTTATACTTAGTTTCCATATATTAATTTATTCTGTATATTGCTCTTGCAGGTAATTTGAGTCCTTTGTACCTGAATACGAGGTTGACCGATACGCTTCCGCAGCCGAGAATAGTTCACGATTTTTCTCCGTATGGTTTAAGGCCGTACGACTTCGCAAGACAGCTCCTGACGTCACAGACAGCGGTGAACAAAATATTAGGTAACTGAAAACTTTTTTCTCTTAGTTTTCATTATTAAACTTATTTTTCATTTTATTTTAAATGTAAGAAATCATTACATAGATTGATTCAGATAAATAGACATTTTTTTAGAGACATTCATTCCAAGTGAATTATTTTTGGCGCAAAGCATAAAAATTGCTCAAAATTTATGGTCTCAAATTGCTCCGGAAATTTCTCACCAAATTTTTCAAAGTTTGGTACTCGGGCTTGATTTGAGTCGTAGAATAAAAAAAAAATAAATTAATTAATTAAAAAAAAAGAAAGTATAGCATATCAATTTAGGAATAATCTGATTTTGTATCAAAGCACATATGTTAGAACAAAACTATTATAAATCGAATATAGAGAATGTCCTAAGCTGCACTTTTGAGACTCGAAAATGCGAATTGAATTTCATCAATCGGCCAAGTAGAACGGAGTGTATAAAACTGAACTTTTTTTCCTTAAATTTTACACATTTTTGCAGCTAGTGAAGGCAGTCATCGAAATAGCGCTTAATTATAACACTCAAAGACGCGCATATACACGCATGCGGGAGTTGATTGTTATGGCGTGTATACTCGAACAAAAACGGCAGTTTTACCTCATGTTGAGCCTTCAAAATACGGATAATCCAAACCCTTATAGTTTGCGAAACACATAATGAAATTTAAAAAAGTAAAAGTATAAAAAGATGAAATGCGTTCTTATTTTAAACAACTTTAAATGAAAAATATATTGAATTATTATGATATTTGGACAAAATGTACGGTTATAATTTGAAAGGTTGGTTAAAAATCGTGCATTTTGGGAACGACAATTCTCAAAATACGACTGTTAAGTCGTTTAGCTTATTAATGTTACATAATGTATGGTAACTTAATGGAAAAATTAGAAAATTTAAGTTATAGAGCATAGGTATTTCTAAGAATCAAATCTTTTACAATTATAATCGTCAGATCGCTACATGGGGACAAGATATAATCGATTTTCTTTCCCCAGCAATGAACGAGCTATCTTCTCGTAACCATCTCTCATAAAACACATCTTAAATATACGCCAAACCACACAGAAGCCACCAGCGCAACGCCCATGCTCCGTGGACTGGCATAATATGAATATAAATCCGAGACAAAAGGGTGGGCGAAAAGCGAGTTCAGATTGGAGTCCGCCCTTCTCTAAGAACGGGTTGTTTGTTTTTCAGGGCTCCTGGTATTACTCACTTGGCAATAAATGATCTTTGACTTATTTAATCCTCGACAGATGCTTATTACCATAAAGGTGCAAACATAGGAGTTCGGAAGAAATTCAATCCTTTCGTGCACGGCGATAAGTTGGCGACATACTTGGCAAGTTTTGAATGAAGTCGTCGCCATTGAGAAAAACAGTTTTCTTGCAATTTTGTCATAAAAAAAAATTGACTTAAAATTTTATTTTTAACTTGTTTTCAGTTGCGATAATTCATTAATAAAATTATAATTTTGTGTCTTATGCATTATTAAAATGTTTGCTGGAGAATTCTCATATAAGTAAAACTCTTTAATTCAGGCTTTTATTTTTTACATGTAATAGGAACCGGTGTTAACTAAAGCACATCAAAGTTATCAGCCTAAAGGAAAGGAAGCATTTACGAGCAATGATCTAAGGGAAATATTTCATATTTACGATATCAAATTTTGAAAGAAGCTCTGCTAAATATTGTATTGTCTTGGAAAATGTGCATATGCGCCAATTTTTCAAGAAAGCCGATAAGGAAAAATTAAGGTAAAAATTATTCCGAACAGATATGTTCGAAAACTTCTCGATCTTGATCGTATAGTTGTCACCCCCTACCCGCGGGTTCATTATCGCCCTTTACAGCGGAGGGAAAAAATTCCTTTGAAGTTCCAAAATGTACGCCAAGTGATAAATAAGGAAAGAAGCTTTTTGAAGTTTTAAAATGTACGTCAAGTGATAAATAATGAAAGAAGCTTTCTGAAGTTTTAAAATGCACGTCAAATGATAAATGAGGGAAAAAGAGTTCTTTGAAGTTCTAAAATGTACACCAAGTAATAAATAAGGAAAGTCCTTTGATGTTTTAAAACGTGCCACATGTGATAAATAACGGGAAAATGTCCTTTGACGTTTCAAAATGTACACCAAGTGATAAATAAGGAAAGACATCCTCCGAAGTTTTAAAATGTACGTCAAGTGATAAATTAGGAAAAAAGTCCATTGAAGTTTCAAAATGTACACGAAGTGATACGTAATGAAATAAAATAATGAAAATAAAAGAAAAAGTAAAAATTCTGGTGCGTTAATTTCCCATTATTGTATTAACGATATAGTAGAAGAAGCGATATAGGGTACATTATATTTTATTATTTCTTAATAGTGATACTGTTTAAATGTGCCACATTTATCAGTTGAACTTCGTCGAATTTATACAGGTTACGTAGATATCCTATTCTATACATTGTTCGCTATTTACTGCGGTGTGTCTTGTATCGAATTAAGTACTACTGAATTCACATTACAGAAAATGATGATATTTCAGACAGAATGAATTTTATTACTATTTCTGAAGAAATTCCTGCGCATTAACAATCGGCTTTCCAAATGAGCCTTGGTTGTAAAGCTTTATTGGAAAGTAACTGCGACCAGCTATCCATTTCGAAGTTAATGATTATGTAAGAGTTCCATTAGAATAGAGTAGACTTAAATATTTACAGCAGTGTCTAATGTTTTATTTTAAGAAAACTATTTTCTGATTAACCTTTGAGGAGCTCGAATATAAAAATTGGAAGGGAGTAAAAATATTTGAACGAATACTAAAGTTAGATACTTATGTCATTTCTCCTCGCAACGTCGTCTACTCGATCAAAACATTTGTCACATCGAGCTGTCAGCTGTTGTGTGACTATGTTTCAGAAACTTGCCGCCTGGCCGTTGAGGTTGCTTGTCATATAACTTGAAGGAAATTCTTAGTCGCCACAGACATTTTTTTTACCAACCTTCACTTCACAGACATCTGCTTGCCTTTCTTAAATCTGTTGATATCATCTACTCACAACACTGACAAACATTGTTCACACATTAGCAGTATCTACGGTGAATTTTCTTGAAAAAATAAAATAGCATGAAGAATCCTTCAATTGGTGAGAATACCGATTCTATTAGACGATTTTTTTACAGCTGAAATGGATAGCATGAAGAAATTATAGCACAAATAGAAAACAAATGTTTGTAAAGTTATACTTTTTATTTTATTCCATCAAAACAAAAGAATTAATTAATTATTATCAATTTAAATCATCGTTTATCAATCTTTTCATCTGTAGGACCCATTCATGTAATTCTGAAATCTTAAGAAGCCCGTGTATCAAAATATCACGGTTACAGTTAATAGCTAAGTAGTTCCATCAGTGAATCTTACTTAATTTGTGGACTGTAAGATGCATTATTTGGAAAAAATAAGACTTAAAATGGGCTTGTGTCACTTGTTAGGAAACCTAGGTGTACGTGGCATGTTCTGGAAAGTTTCTGAAGAGAATAGTGTTAAAAGTCTATGCACGTATTTATAGAAAATCAATATTTCCGCTGTTTCGCGAAATTTTAGAATTTAAATATGCAGTTTTTACCATTCAGTAGCTTTAAAAAAATATTGTTACATATTTATCAGGAAGCTTTTAATTCATTTTAATTTGAAACCAACTGTACCAAATTGTCAACAACATTGTTGAAGATAAACACTAACAAAAGTATCTAGTTTATTCTTTTCAATGAGTCTCAGAATGGGAATAGAGTAACACTCTTTTATCATTTAGTAGGTATAAGGGCTTTTATTATTTATAAATTTATTACATTTATCAGACGAATCTGCCACCATAGCAAAATGTTTCGACATTTCAGTATTGTCCTTTTGAATTTACACTTAATGACCACAGCTGCAAGTAGCACGATCGCAAATAGAGCAGTAAATTGTTTTGTTTTGTTTTAAACTTCCAGCTTCTGCTCGAATTAGCAATTTCTGCAATAAAAGGGGTGAAATCTAAATACAGAAAACAGCAGATGCACTTTGAAAGTAATTTCAGTGTGTCAGCCACATGAAATTAACTTTAGACAAATATTGTGGAACACTCTAAGCACAAACTTCACATGAATTAAATGCATCATTTTTGTGACTAACATGAATTTAAATTATACTAATTTAACAGTTTATAGCATCCATAATAATGATAATAATTAAAAATGTGAACCCTGAATTCTAAGGTTATAATTGTTTAAGTTAGTGTGTGATCAGTAGTTAAAGGCTTATAAAAATCGACCCAGATAATAATACAACCCGTGACAATATCGAGGCAAGATAAGACAAATTGAAAACTGCTGCTAAAAGTATGGTAAAAATAAATAAAACTTTGTAAGTAGAGTTTGAGTAGTTTTTGTATAATAAAATATCCTTTTCAATTGTGTCATAAATCTGGAACGAGCGTTATGGTTTAAAAACATGATGATTCAGTACGCATTGGCAAAGCTATTTAAAGCAAAGATTCAACCTGCGCCACCTCCCTGATAGCCTGCTAATTTTGTTCTGATTTTTGCAATCGATCGTTGTAGCATTCATTTCGAATCAAAAGAATAATAATTCGTTTATTTAACTGGGGCTCCGATTTCAATAAGCAACCAGTTTCGAATAAGCAATCAGTCTTTAAGTACTAATTCTGATGTAATCCACCAGCGGAGGAGCGATAAAAGCCGCTGAACACTGGTCTTTCGGTCTAGGATTTGAAACGCGGCGAACCTGCTGGAATTTTTATGGTTTCTGCCACGTGTAACTGAGATACGAGCTTGTTTCTTTTCTAAAGTTAAGCGTTGTGTAGTGCTCATTGGCAAAGCATGTAAAACAGAAAAAATAAAAATCTGAAAGATGAAAATATTTCAGATTTTATATTATGCCCAAAGGGACTTTTTTGTTATTTACACATACATGCACGTTTTAAGAGTATTTGGGCTCAAAATA